AAATTTAAAAATGCATTCATGCATACATGGTGTAAAAATCAGCTAAATTAGTTGTACTTATATTATAGTTTAGGTTAAATGCTAATTTTGGTTCTTCAACTTTATAGTGTTGCTAAATTTTCATCCATCAACTATTTTTTTATACTTTTTTTATACTTTTTTGATCCCTTAATGCTAAAATTTGCACAACTTTGATCCCTCCATCAGTTAACTTTGACATGGCCATTAAATAATTCCATAACAACATTTTCTTTTAATTCTTTTGATGACATAGCAATAACATGTCTTGTAATTAGGTCCATGGACAAATAAAAATACCACATCAAATGAATATTTATATTTTTAATAAAAAGAAATAAAAAAACAATAAAGTTATGTTATTAACTCGTCTCCCTCTCAATCCATCTTCTTTCCCTCTTTGCTCTAGCTAAGGTTGAACCCAAGTACTAGGTTTGATCGAACCCAATAGATCTAGGTCATCGAACCTAGTGCTAGGTTCAATGGGACCTAGGTGTTGGGTCGTTGAACTCATTTGCTGGGTTCCATCAAACCCAATAGATCTCATCAAATCAAATTAACCCCACAATAAACAATGTCAATAAAACCCTAATCAAATTCCAACATAAATGTAATCAAATTCTAATAAATCAACTCCCAAATTTTGAAAAAACCTATCAAGAATAGATACAATAGGTAGATCAAGAACTGGGGATGGAAAGTGAAAGAAGAATGCAAAAACCTAGTGAACTTGCCAAATAGAGGATGGACAACTTCAATGGAACCAAGCAGCTAGGTTTGACGACCCAAATCTAATAGGCTAAATGGAACCCATATCTATTGGGTTTGATGGAACCCAATGGTTGGGTTCCAAGACGAAAGAGAAAGAAAGAGGAGGAAGAAGATGGATCGAGAGGGAGAGGGGTAGTAACATAACTTTCTCTTTTTTTTTTCTTTTTTTTTATTAAAAATATAGATATTCATTTGATGTGACATTTTTATTTGTCCATGTAACCTAATTACAGTGCATGTTATTACCATGTCAGCAAAAGAATTAAAAGAAAATGCCATTATGGAATTATTTAATGGCCACATTATAGTTAACTGATAGAATGATCAAATTTGTGTAATTTTTAGATTCATGGGATCAAAAAAGTACAAAAAATAGTTAAAAAATAAAAATTGTGCAACACTATAAAGTTGAAGAACCAAAATTAGTATTTAACGTATATTTTAATAGCTAAACGAAGATAAGCATTAAAAAGTATGTGCCAATTATTTTTCTTAAAAAAATTTTTGTATTAAATAAAATTATTCAATAAAAACTATTGTAGTATAGAAAGAAAATTTTTTTAATTATCATCTAGTATTTATTAAGTACTACTCCCTTCTTAATAATAGACTTTTTTTTATTTAAAATTTGTCTAAAATAAT